TTAGTTATATGTAGAAATGTTCGTTTATTTTAAAAGAATCTAGAACAGGGTTAGAAGGACCAAAAGTTGTTTTCTTGAACCTTCTTAAAACTTCTTCCTCGGACTTCAGAATTTTGGGATAGTAAAATTTAGAATGAATGAAACTTAATTTTCAGAGCAAGCAATAGTGATTTTTTTTTCTTCGATCGAGTTATGTGTTGAGCTCATTTTGTTAATACTATCTGTATTGTCATATTTTGTAGAGCTGGTTTCAGGACTTTGTTCAAAATCACTATTTAAAGTAGAAATGTTTAATTTACTGAATTTACTTGAAATGATTTTTTCAAAATCAGAAACAGAAGGTTCAATTTTAAAATTGTCTAATTCAACAGGAGACTATATATATATATATATATATATATATATATATATATATATATATATATATATATATATATATATATATATATATATAAAAATTTAACAAACAGGTTTATTATTAAAAAAAAAATAATAATAATAATAAATAAATCAACGAAAATGATAAATGCAGGACCAGAAATGTTGAATGCAGTTTGGCCAAAAATTGCATATAAGGGTACTATAGTACTTTCGTTTCTCCAGGGGGTATGTCAAAAGATGATTTGAGCTTGGGCTTATCACTAGTTTATTTGGTGGCTAGGGGTATGTAAAATAACCCATATATATATATAAAAGATTCGTCATGCCTTGCCTCGTGGCCAGCAATAATAAAGCAAGCCTATAATCAAGGTTCGCCCCTTGTACAAAAAAGTAGGTTTGTATTTAATCAAGATTAGTATTTCAATTTTAATTTTAATATTAAAAAAAAAATCGAATTGAAGTGTCATAATTAGGTCAACTGAATTTAGTTGGGAACCTTGATGAAACTCTGTTGGGCCTTTGGTTTCTTGTTACATTACAGGGCCAATTTTGGTTTCGGCAATCATAAATTGTAATAATTCAATGAATATCAATATCCTTCTTAACATGGGAATTGGGATGCATGCTTTAAATTTTGGATTCTATTTTCTTTCTATCCATCTCATTTAAATTTAAAGTTCACGCATATGCAATCTCATAAAAAAATAAAAAATAAAAATAAAAATGGATCATCATAAGAGAGAATTAATAATCAATACTCTCTCTCTCTCTCTCTCTCTCTCTCTCTCTCTCTCTCTATATATATATATATATATATATATATATATATATATATATATATATATATATATATATATATATATATATGTCGTTTTTTTTTTTTCTTCGAAGGGATGCATAATCTTTATTAGTTAGGGAAAATGCTTTAAACTTCCTCAAAAGTATTTTATATAGCTAACTGCCACTCGAATATTTTAAATTTGCTAAAAGGACTGAAAATACTCAACTTAGACTGAAAAAAATGACTGAGATCGATGAGAATAACCTTTTTCAGTGCGTGGTTGGCGAAAATTATTCTTATGTAGGATGATAACGATGGGTTATTTATCAATCATTCATTGAATGATAAATAACTACAAGTGACAAAGATACACAATTTAAATACCGGAACATCCAACATTTATCGAGAATAACCGGAAATGTGGAAACAATAACAATTATAATTATATTTCATCATTATGAACAAATCCAAATTCAGTAGAAACCAGATAATTAAAATGGAAATCATTTGTATTTGCAAATAATCAATTTGATATTACAATGACTTCAATTTTCCACCCACATAACAAACTAAAGTTGGGAAAATTTATTATTTTACTAGTCATAGTTGATTGCTATTTGCAAATTATGCATTTAATAATAATAATAATAATAATAATCCCTAAAACTATCATTCATATTGACATTTGTGTCATGCCATAGTGAACCATAATCTTGATCTTCAATAGTAGTATTCACATAACAAAGAGGAGAAGTAGGCATAGTCTCCATGTCCATCCAGCGAAGATCAAGATCATCTTGCGGCACCGAGCGATCTTGACCGTTCAATTCATCGTTCGATGATTGGCAATCCACCACCTCACTCTCCCACATAGTATTATGATGATCAAATGAATAGCAATTATCATCCGAATCATCAATCTCTGCCTCCAACGACCGAATTACTTTTCTTAATCTTTCATCATCGCAATCTTCAATCGGTGTTTCGTCGAGTAACGACATTAGAAGATTGTGGTTGATCTGCGATAGCTCCAAATCTTCCGATTCATCTTGGCCGTCCACGTAATCCCAATTTTCTTCTACCACAGAGGCCATATTAATTTATCAAGAAATAATCTGATTTTTTTCAAGGGGATTTAATTTGAGAGAGAAAATAAATAAAACTTGGATGTATTTTCTCTAGCTATCAAGAAAGCATCTCTTTATATAGGCAAAATTGAATTGGAAAAGAACGGTGGAATAAATGGGATATGAAATATTCACCCACCAACGAAAAATAATAATAATAGCAATAATAATAGTACAAAAGAAGATATGAATGAATGGCAAAAAGAAACCAATCATGTGACATAGTATTCAAAACAAGGGACCACTTTTGCACTAAGAAAGGCCAAGAATTTTTAAGATAAATTTTCCACTACCTAAGTATCTTTCAAAGTCATGTATTGTCTAAATTAAAGAAGATATGGAAGTGTATCAAGGGTACAAGGACACACAATATCTTCAAGATTATGTTACATCGAATAGAATATAAGTTAAGTGAACAATCAACTTATCCCATTTTGAAATAAAAATAAAGATAAAGTTTTATTGATTACTCGAGCATTCGGCACTTCCCGCAAAATTGTTTTGAGGACAAACGAAATATTATAAGGCTATAGACGCCAAATCAGGGTCAAGGCGAGAGCTTTCCGAATTTACAAAGTTCGTCGAGTAAGCTAAAGTATGTGCAATACCCTTGTGCAATAATTAATAGCTTAAAAAGATAGATGGTCCATATGTCTTGTAGATACTACCAATGTTTGAAAATCGGACCGGAAATTGACTCGAACAAGCTATTGAGTCACACAGAATTGGACTGGTTCAACTAGATTTTTGTATTTTTTTATTTTATAATTATTTATATTTAATTTTTCAAGTAAATGAAACCTAGTTTTCCATACACATTAACTTATTATTCCCATGCAATTGAAACGTAAATCAAACGTACTTTTTATTTCCAACACACAATATATCAACACACATATATGATTGACAACCAATTTCAGTTTCAAAGCTTTTGAATTTAAAAAATTACAAATTCAACTAGGCAGTAAAACGACGTTGTTTTATCCATTTTTTTTGTTTGTTAAATTTTTTTAATTAAAACAAATCGCACAAGTTTGGGCAAAAATCCTATTTTCAACCGGACTTCGATTTTGAGATCACCTCCGACGTCTTTTGTTTGATTTATTGATCGATTAACGTTATGATATTACTGTTTAATATTGTAATATTATCGCAAACACAATAATATTACTGTGGTTGACTGTAATATTCTTGTCGTTACAATAATTTCACTGTGGAAGACAGTAATATTACTGTCAACCAAATCAATGTTAATTCTTTTGGCTTTTTATTATGTTTGCCTTTGTTAAACGGTCAACATATTAATATTACTATATTACACAATATATTGATTTTTGTTGTGCTAATATTAGTGTGTTAGAGATTAATATAACAATATTAATGTATTAAACTGTAGTATAGTTAATATTACTATGTTAAACAGTAACATAACATAGTTAATATCAGTGTTCTAAAAATCGGCCGAGGCGGTCCAAAACCTTTACGATTTTAGTGTAAAGGTTTGAAAAATCGATTTTTTGCCTGTGAGGCGGTTTTAGGCGGTCTGAGGCGGTCCGAGGCGGTCTGAGGCGGTCAAACCTTTAAGGCGGGTCAAACTCCGTGGCAAAAATCGGTTAAAAATCGATTTTTTTTTTTTTAATTCAAAATAAAAGTTGGATTTTAATAAAAGAAAATATGAGTTTATGCCTTATTTTGTTTATGTTAATTATTATTGTTAAAGAACTGAATAAATGTTAATTCAAAAATTTTGCTTTTTTATTTATATTTTATAAGGATATTTATGTATTATGATCTTATAATTATTAAACTTTTATTATGTTATTAGGATATATACATGATAGAGATATAACTATGTTTAAATATCTTTTAATATATGTTTGGAGTATTTATAAATAATATTTAGAAATATATTATATTAAATTTTAAAAACCGATTTATTTCCGATTTATCACCGATTTAATCACCGCCGCACCGATTAATCGTGAGTCGGTGCCTGACCGACTCGGACCCGATTACCGCCTTTTACAACCTTGGTTAATATGAATGTCAACAACAATAGTACTGTTTAAACGGACAAAAAGATGTCAAAGAAAAAAAAATTAAAAAAACAAAACAACGTCGGAGACTGTCGGTCAACGGCAGTTGACCGACAGTTAACGGTGGCGACGGGCG